CTTTGCATATGCATCTTATGTGTCCTTCGCTTTGAAATATTCAGCGATCAGAGCACTTTACAGATCGGAAATTTTTGAAGCATGCACTTCTGAAAATGTTTGGGTATTTTTATGCACAATGCTTGGTGTAGAATCTGTGGGCGTTAGTATCACTTACAACTACACAATAACCTACATTTCGGAAAGACTGAAGGCTCTTTAGGAGCTTCAAAGCTCCAAATTAGCTGAATCTGGGTACAAAAATTGCTCAAACAGTGATTGCCTAACATGCAAACTAGCGTTTCTGACAAGGGAGAGATTCAATAAGAGATGCGTATCAGATGCTGATTCCAAATCTGCCTTTCATATCTGCGAAACGTTTTTTGGAAGAATTTATGAATTTTCCTCCATGTTGAAATAGCGCGTTAATAATTGCTGTACGGCATTAAATCCAACCAGAAATAACAAGCGAGGGTTATTTCTATCAAGAAGACATATTTTTATCGATGTTCAGCCTTTGCGCTGCTGTTTTCGGTCAAGTCTGAAATTTTTGACCATTTTCTAAATCCAGACTGATTTTGATAGAGAAAAATTTCCATAACTTCTTCCAGGAAAGCGCTTCGCAGATATGGAAAACGGATTTAGAATCAGCGTTTGAAGTTACTTATGAACGTGCTTATCTCATTTCAAATCGCCACTTCGACCAAATTCTCTGTGAGCAGTAAAACGTCGAAATAAATTCACCTTTTGCCTAAACTTGCTCCAATCTGTCCTTCTCTACTAGTTTTGAGATAAGAACTTAGTCATCGCCTTTTATCTTGGAAGTGACAATGTCTCCGTTCAAAAGAAAACTATAAGTTGTTTAGATTTGGATGAAATTAACCAGCATTGTTTCTAAGAAGAGTTGGAAGGTTATCATAATTCATCTTTACCAACAAAAGAGTACTTGTAATTTAGAAGATCTCGTCTAGTCTGATACACAATAAAGTATAATTCTAGATCTGGTTGCTATTTTTCATACAATTCTTTTTTTTTTGAAGAAAACTGTCATGAACACGATCTTGCACCCTTGACTACGACTCGATGTCAAGGGGTATTGTATTAATGGATTTAGGTTGGTTCAAAGTCTTGCATGCGGAGGTCCTGCTTCGGTTAGATCAAAGCATTGCTGATTAGAATGCAGGAGGTAAATAATAAAGCAAAACCCATTTTCAAAGGAGTTAAACCGATCAAGGCCATCAACGCTGCTGTGGCTAGTATCGTACAGAAAAAGAGGAATAATTAATGCAAAAAAC